AACTGTTCATTTTCATGAACCTTCTGAAATTTACTTACTTTCTTATTTGTTTAATTGTGTCTTTTCCTAACAGCCCCACCTAATGAAGAAATTCCCATGACTGATTCCATGGAATAATTGACTTTCAGTGTGTGAATGTTTTAGACTTACTGCATTTGATCAAACATAAAAACATAATGATTTTTATACCGTACAAACTGTATATTGTCTCCCCTAAACACAACCCTCACAGAAAACGTTCTGCATTTTTAGGGGTTTAAACCTTTGGTGATATGACCAAAATCTTATTTCACAATATGAGAAATGATATTTCATGATAACGACATATATCACAATATATTTTTATTGTATTGTTTTTGTTATTAAAAATAAGAGAACAGAGATGCAAAATATTAACAAGAGAGCAAATACAATAGAACACTGTTATAATTTTTTTCAGGTATAGTAGGTTTATTTAACATTTAAATAACCTACTACAGAAATTGAATAATCAAATGTAGCCTATAACTAAAACACGGCATATACTTCACTGATTCAAATATGAATCGATTCTTATTGAAGATACAAAAGTTATTCAGTTAAGAGCAGTGAGTGATTTTCTCTTTTTATTTAGTTGTTTATGTCCAAGGTCATATGCACCGTTTTATTATTACCGTGTGTGTATGTGTGTCATTATGTGTTGTTCTGTGTGTGCTGTCAGTGCATCCAACACCTGAGAATTGCAGTTTTAAGTATGTTTTCCCAATTCCCTGTGTTGTGACAATAGTGTGCAGCTTTACTATATATGTGGTGTCATTTGTTCTTTATTAAGTGGAGGAGCAGTAGGGAGACTGGTGCCATTTTATTTTGTTTGTTAGTTAGTTAGGAAGTAAGGTAAAATTTATGTTGTTTATTTGTCTTTATTTTCCTGCCAGGTTAATTAGACTTCCTAATAGCAGTCAATGCTCTTTCGTTTGTTGTTTTGTCCTTACCCGCTCCTGATGATAACCCTTTTTTATGTTGTATTTTTTTATAGTTCTGTTTGCACTGTACATAAGGCATGACTTGATTATTGTAAATAAATGTATTGAAATTGTACCTGATGTAGTAGTGAGTGCTGGAACTGAAATGGTTCAACCCTTCTCTTTTGCTGCTCTTATACTTTTCTTTAAAAGGTATTTCCTCTTTTCCCCTAGAAATAAGGGGAACACAACATGTCTGATTAACATTAATGACAGCAGCAGGTTTATTAAGCTTTCTGAAATTCATGTATATATTTATGCCATTTTTTCGATCTCAGTTTAATGTGCACTATAAACCACTTTTGTTTTATAGCCTGACATATGATGTTGATTTTTACTCAATGTTTACATTAAGAGACACTTTTATCGAAAGTGACTTACGAGAGAGAAACATCACAAAGTAATTAGTTTGAAAACAACTACATTTTGATATTGAGATGTACTGTGATACAAGATAATTAAATACATATTTCAAATGTAAGGTCAAACTTGAGCAACAAAATGAATCTGTATATGTATAACTATCATACAGTTAAAATGAATCCTTCATCACACTGCCTTCGTATTGTAAGGATGTTTTTCCTGCTAAGACAGAACACGAAACCAAATGCCCTGCAATAAAATTCACTAATCTGGAGAGAAGATCTCAACAATAAGCAAAGGACCTTGCTCAAACTTCTCCCCTTGCTTATCCTGAAGTAAAAATAACCCAGAGTCTGCTGAAATAAATTCCTTTAATCCAGCATGTAAATCATTTTCCAATTTTAGCCTGCAGTGTTATGCTGTAGTTTTGAAAGAACTATAAAAACATGCATATGACATTGTAAGAATGGCTTGGTTTGCCTAATCCTTTTGACTTTCTGTGCCCTTTGCATATTAATCTTTTCTCCAGCTTTGTAGTTTTATTGTTTTATTGCATGGTGTCTCAAGACTCTGGGTTATTTTTTTACTGTGTTGTGTTCATCAGTCTGTGTTCATGTTGAACGTTAATGTTGAACTCTCACCTGTGGGCGTTTCCTCTCACTTACCATCATTCCTCACCATTCTTGTTTGACCTGTTTTCACTCAGGTCCTGCATAAGCCACTGCACAACTGAAACAACATGCATGCTTAATATTTACACACACATGGGTTGATGAGGGAGAAAAAATTATGAGATCTCACTCTTATGGACTCATGAATGACCAATAGATGAAGCCATCACTCAGCAAAATATTATATAAATAAATTATATACATATATATATATATATATATATATATATATATATACACACCAAATGTTATGCAATATATAACAAAGT